AAAAAAAAAAAAAAAAAAAAGAAAGAAAGAAAGAAAAAGAAAAGAAAAAACCACAGTGACCTCCTTAGCCTACTTATATGGGGGCTGTAATACATGCAGACATAGCTACATATAATATTTGGTTTGATTTGTATTTGTTTTCTAACAGCTCTCTAAAATTTGAAGACATTGGTTTGCTTTGATCATTCCAACATTCATAAGTATGGGAAAGCCTTGTATATGTAATACAGTTAAGTCTTTAATTTTAAATGTTATAAAGCACCTTGCCTTTACAGCGAGAACACACAGACACCTTACGCCATCTGAACTTGATGTTAATGTTTACTGAGTGTGTGCTGGACCTGACAGCTGTGAGGGGTGGGAACCCTGAACTGTGCACATCTGCTGTGTCCTTGTACCAGATTCAAGAGAGTGTAGTCGTGGACCAGATCAGCCAGCTAAGCAAAGATTGGGGGTAGGTACCTCCTGTCAGTCATTTCCAGTTTCTTTATGCTTTCTTTAAATTTTATTTAAATGTAGGCATTGTTATCTGTTAAAAGTCATGTCTCATTTTAAAAAGCTACAAGGAAATCTAAGTTGTTTTATTATGTGAGATGTTAGCCAAGAATGTATTATGCAACCTTAATATCACCTTTCTCTGCAAATTTACAACTGGAGATATTTGATGACCAAGAGGTCATACAGATTTTTGTTTCAGTGTCCCTGTAATATTCAAAGTTCACATATCTTTCTCCATACTAATTCTTTTCTCTTTAGGAGTTAAATGTATATTTAAAAGTCCAGAGGGGGATCTGGAGAGATGGGTCACAGGTTAAGAGCATTGATTGCTCTTCCAGAGGTCCTGAGTTCAATTCCCAACAACCACATGGTGGCTCACAACTAAGTATAATGAGATCTGGTGCCCCCTTCTGGCCTGTAGGCATCATACATACATGCATGCATGCATGCATACTTATCAAGAAGGATCCAGGTGTGGTTTTACACATGCAGCACTTAGGATAATAAGGCAGGAGAGCTAAGAAATTTGAGACCTACCAGGGATATATAGGAAAATCTTGTCTGGGGCACACGTGGGGAAAGGGGGGTAGAGGGAGATGAGCATGAAATCTGCTAGATAAGCTGGGGCCTGATATTTAGCATGTTGAGTCTTGTGGGTCAGTTCCCAGGATAATTCTCTGCTCCTGTCTTCCGGCGCAGGCGGGTGGAGCAGCTGGTGTTATACATGAAAGCAGCACAGCTGCTGGCAGCTTCCCTGCATCTCGCCAAAGCTCAGATCAAGTCTGGGAAGCTGAGCCCATCCACAGCTGTGAAACAAGGTACAGGAGCAGACCAGAGTGTGTGCCTCCAAGGGCCTTTGTGCCTTCCTGTCCCACCAAGTCAGTCTCTACTGATGTTTTGTTTCTAGTTGTTTACCTGATACAGAGAAGCCAGAAGTAATAGATCTGTCTTTTCATACTGAAAGATCATAGAACCCAACTTTTTCTTTTGATTCAGTGACCATGTAGTGTCACTTTCTTTCCAACAGCAGGAAAGGTACATGTCACTGTGTTATTTCTAGAAGGAAATTAAAACTAATTCCAATTTCAACTTTGTTTCAGTTGTTAAAAATCTGAATGAACGATATAAATTCTGCATCACCATGTGCAAGAAACTTACAGAAAAGCTGAATCGCTTCTTCTCTGATAAACAGAGATTTATTGATGAAATCAACAGTGTAACTGCAGAGAAACTCATCTATAATTGTGCTGTGGAAATGGTAAACCTTTTTAAGGCTTAGATTTTATAACACTACAGTATTTCTCTCTGAGTGTCTTTGGAATGAACACCTACTTGAAATGATCTGCCTTTAAGTGTTTATATCCACTGGTCAGTGGTGGCACAGGCCTTTAGTCCCAGCACTAGGGAGGCAGAGGCAGGCGAATCTCTGTGAGTTCAAGGCCAGCCTGATCTATAGAGCTAGTTCCAGTACAGGCTCCAAAGCTACAGAGAAACCCTGTCTCCGAAAACAAAAAGAACAAAAAAAAAAGGAGTTTAGTGGGGTGATGATGGTGCATGCCTTTAGGCCCAGCACTCGGAAGGCAGAGGCAGGAGGATCTCTGTGAGTTCCAGACCAGCCTAGTCTACAGATAGAGTACTAGGATAGGCTCCAAAGCTACACAGAGAAACCCTATCTTGAAAAATAAAAATAGAGTTTATATCCTAGCCTTTCTCAAGCCCCAAGTGTTATGATTACCTAATGAAGTAATTGTACTTAACTGACATTTGAGTACTTAATATAATGTAACTTATTTAATAAACTTACTATAGTTTGTAATCCTGGTTATTATATTTGATAAATTTTATTATATTTCCTTTAAATTTCATTTACATAGGCATGTTCTCATCCTTTTATAGTTTCATCTAAAAGTTGAATTAATATGTTTCTGCATTTTTCAGCTATTTGAGAAATTTTGGCTCTATACAACTTAGAAAAAATATGGCTTTGTTAGTCCACAAAAATGTAGGTGCTTGAGTTTGACTGACTTTATTGAAGTATACATACCAAGGAAAAGCTACTTTCCATTTGTCTGACTATAATTTTGGAATTTCCTCTATTTACTATGGGAAAAATGGCTCAGAGGAATATGTAATTATAGTTACTAAGTATTTAAATGGAGAAAATTTTATGGACTAATGTTGTTTTATCTGTTCAACATAATAGATCTCCCCCAGTTAGATAAGTTGCAGTTGTAGTGTTGCTATGCCCTTGGCTTTACCTTGTCAGCTGAAAAATAAATAGTTTTATGAAATAACTTTGGAATGTAAGCTGAGGAGAATATATTCTATTTCTCTAAACTATTGATAGGAATGGTAGGTACTATATAACACTCTGCCACATTAAGACAACAAGAATTTTTACTAGGAATTATACTGCTTCTTTTTCTGGATTTAACTGTAACATTACAAATTCTTGATTTCATCAAAATTTATTGATTTTAATATGCTTTTTAAAGCTGCACTGTTCATAAGGACAAATCTCGTTTTGGTTCCAGGTTCAGTCTGCAGCCCTTGATGAGATGTTTCAGCAGACTGAAGACATTGTTTATCGCTACCACAAAGCAGCCCTTCTTTTGGAAGGCCTAACTAAGATTCTGCAGGACCCTACAGATGTTGAGAATGTGCATAAATGTAAGTTGTTGGTACAGTGGTGCACAGTAGTGCTCCACCATCTTCAGTGCCACTTCCTGCATCTGGGTTCAAAATTATTACATTAAAAAACTAAGAAATAAACAGCCATAGATTTGTCTGTTTATTGTTTTGTTTGTTTTTTGTATTTTTTGAGACAGGATTTCTCCCTGTAGCCCAGGCTGTCCTAGAACTTGCTCTGTAGACCAAACTGGCCTCAAACTTGCCTACTTCTGTCTCCTAAGTGTTAGAATTAAAGGTATGTGCCACCACTGCCTGACTCATTGTTTGTTTGTTTTTAAGTTTTTATTATTTAGTTTTTAAAGAATTGGCATTTAAATGTATTATTTTTATGTTATGTGCTTGGGTATTTTGCCTACATGTATATCTAAGTGTACTGTGTGCATGCCTGGTTCCTTCAGAGGCTAGGAGAAGGTATCAGATCCCTGGATCTATATTTACAGAGAGCTGTGAGCAGCAGTCACAGTCATGTGGGTGCTGGGACTTGAATCCAGTCCTCTGGAAGAGCAGCCAGTGCTCTTAACTGCTGAGCCTTCTTTGCAGCCTTCATTATGGTATTTTTTTCAAACAAACTTTGTTTCTGTTGTTTCCCCCTGCCTCTCTTCTTCCCCATCCACATTTTGCATTGTTCTCTGCTACCTGGGAAATGATTTATCTCCTTGTCCAGTATATACTTGCTGTATGTGCTTTCTGCATATCAGTCACTTAATAACCGGTTACAAGGTATAATGTATTCATAGTACTGTGCTTGTAGATAGTTTGATGCTATTAATAATTTCGGGCCTAAATTGAGGGTCTTAGAATGGGTCCTTTGTGGGTAAGGAAGAACCACTGAATTTAATTAATTGCAGTTTGTCTTGTAAATTTGGAATCATACTGTCTGAGATGATTGGCTTTAAAAACTTGAACAAATTATTAATCTTTCTGTGGTCTCAGTCTCCTTTCTGAAGATGTTGATAACAGTGTCAACCTTATATTCTGTAAGGGCTAGCGAGGCTGTATATAAAATATAGATTACTTTGATTCTTCAGATTTTTTTTTCATTGAATTATTTTGTTGTCAAGTTCCTGTTTAAGAACATAGGCCGGAGGGGCTGGAGAGATGGCTCAGAGGTTAAGAGCACTAGCAGCTCTTTCAGAGGTCCTGAGTTCAATTCCCAGCAACCACATGGTGGCTCACAACCATCCATCATAAGATCTGCTGCCTTATTCTGGTGTGCAGATATACATGGAAGCAGAATGTTGTATACATAATAAAGAAAGAAAGAAAGAACATAGGC